AGTACTTGAAAATTGTCTCAATGTGGCCCTCGTTAGTTTTCAGACATTTGACCTTTACACCTTTTGATCTAAGTCTGAAAATTACTAAAAAGTCACCCCTCCCATGTAAATAATTATTAAATAAATTAAAAAAAAAATAAGCTCGAGTAGTCTAGTTTCTACAAGTTGTCGTGATGCTAAGTATCTTAACCGTGCTCAATCAATCCATCTTAAATGTGTTCGGTTCTTCTAACCATATATTGGTGCATATTAAAGATACTTTCGTGCTCACGTACATATTTTTCTTCATCAGATGGTCGCGAAGATGATTACGTGTCGGTCGCCGAAGCTCTAATGGCAGGATTCGTCGCCGGCACAGCAGAGTGTGTCGTAGCCTCTCCGTTCGAACTCATCAAACTCCGTGCGCAGGTGGCATCCGCTTCTCCCACTATGCACGTTCCCTCCGTTTCGGAAAAGGGCGTTATTCCGACTTTACCCTCGAGATTACTGCCCAGATATTCCATGGATATGAAGGCAATGAGCAACTCCATGGGCCTTTTGTCCACCTTGACGACACAGCATCGACACGTGAATATGTTCGACGCCCTGAAAGAATATCCTTGGATGATGACTGGATCCGGGAAACCGCCACCTGTCAATAATGTTCAAATGCCGTCGGATATTGTTTCCTTGGAAGGCTGGACTGCCATGTGGAGAGGTCTCCGGTCGGGTTTAGTTCGAGATTCCATTTTTGGCGGCGTCTTTTTCTCGAGCTGGCAGTTTTTACACCAAGCGATGCTGAGCTGGAAAGCCGTAGGAATGGACCCTGTGCCCAGGTACGATACTGAAGCTGGTCCGTTGTCTCCGATAGCTGTTACGCTCGCGGCCGGAGTTTCCGGATCGATAGCTGCAGCTGCTTCTCATGGTTTCGACACGACTCGAAGCCGATCACAATGCACTGTTCTGCCCAAGGTATAGTGTTCGACAAATGAAATGAAATGCTCCGTTTTTTTTTTTTTTGGGTAGTGATTCATCGGCTTAATCCCACTTTGCACCCTTGAAATATGCCATTTTGGCACTTTGCACCAGCGAAACACAATATATCTTGCATAATGCACCCCGCATGAATTTTTAAAGCTAATAAAGGTAATTTAATATTTTTAGTGGTATTTAAAAATTATATTTTATATCACAAAAGAAATATTTTACGAAAAAAAAATCCTATCAAGTTATCTGAAATCATATTTTCTTAGAAATATTTCTACCTAATATTTTCACCTATTACAATAAAGATATGTCAATCGAATATAAAAGTTTATTTGATTTTATTTTGTAAGAAATATATTTTTTTTCAATATCCAGTGTGATTTTTTTTTTTGGCCCTTTCCGTGCTCGATATCAGGTTAGAGGTTGAAGAAAATAACAATTTAATTTGTTATTTTGCCTCGAAAAAAAGAAACAACAAAAAATGAATTATCATTTATTATTCAAATCATGGTGCATTGTGAATGATTTATTGTGTTTTGAGGGTGCAAAGTGCTATTATTAGTTTTCACTTTTCAAGGGTGCAAAGTGCCAAATTGCTCCATTTGAATGGTGCAAAGTGGGATTAAGTCTGATTAATCTACGTCCAATTCGTTTTCGACAAATATCTGCAATTTTATGAACAAATATTTCCTTGAAATAAATCGTTGACTTTTTACGAACATTCGCATTCGTCATTTTGAAAACCATTCTAGGTTCTCAAGAAAATATAAATAATTTTGTTACGAAAATATAAATTTTTTAATTAATTTTTCGCAGTATGTAACTATGGAGAGGAAATTTTTGAAGTGGAAAAGACCAGGGAAGAGATTCGAGAGGCTAACTGGGATCCACCCAGCCGACAGAAATTTGTTGCTAAACGGCATTTCACTGAGGATGGCTCGTTGTGGGCTCGCATCGTCCGTCATTGTCGGAAGTTACTTCCTCGCAATCGAACATCTCGTTTCTAATTGAATATTTCATCGTTTTATAAGATTTTGGATTTGGCTTGCTTACATTCGATTATTTGGTAACATGTATCGTACATGCAAAGACTTATATAGTTTTTCTTTTATCCCTCTTCGAATTGTAATTTCAGGTTCGTATTCCGTTTTTGCTCAATCTCTCAGTTTCTTTATCGATTGTTTATCTCATGCCCGCGTTCGAATTGCACATAATTATGAATGAGCATTTAAACAAGTTAATTAATTGCAAATTCAATCCACACACACACACACACACACACACACACACATATATACATATATGTATATTTTTCTTTGGAGAATAATTAATTAATTTGGGAAGCTAATTTCATCAAGATCGTCTAACGACAGGTAAATCTCATCCAAACACGAAAGCTCCGTCCCATCATTGTCAACGTCACCGTTGTTCTCGTACACTCGACAAATAACCACCCATCTACTATAATCCTTAACAAAAGAAATATATAAACCAAAAATTAGTAATTAACTTTTATTTTTTTACATAATCATGAAAAATAATTTATTTTTATTATTTTCAATTTTTTCCACTTACAAATTTTGAATTACTTTTTCTCGACGACGTCGATCGACTGGTGGAACTCGAGCACGAAACACTGTAATATTCATGCATGATCCAATTTGTCTTCACACCTTCAAAAGGTTTACCAATGTAAAAAGCACTATATTTTTTCATCCCAATTATTTTTTGGCAATTATTATTATTATTATTTGAATAAATTGGCTCCTCAAATCCAATAGGCTGCCAATATCCACTCCCAGTAATTCTAGTTTGTGTCTTCCTGCTGTAAAAATACCATTTTTTACCTTCACCACCCATTGCTTTAACTGCATATAATATTCATTATCCAATTATATCCACTCGGTAAATTCAGTGAAATACATCGGGCGATTATCAACCGTTAATCTGCACATAATCACTCACATCCATGTGTATGTATGTGTGTTTACTGGGAAGTAATTTCACCACATCAATGGTTAAAAATCACCAGGTATATTTCACCGGGTGTAGCATCTCAACGACCGTGAAAACGTGAGGTAATTAAATTAAAAGGGTACTTTACTGCCACTTTCCTGAGGTAAAGTGTAATTACAAAAAACCCCACTTATTTTTAGAAACTACATCTAGCCCCTTGCAAATTGTAAATTTCTTACATTCAACCCCCTACAAAAGGGTGTTTAATGTAAGAAATCTACCATTCAACCCCCTACAAAAGGGTGTTTAATGTAAGAAATCTACCAATTATAGGGGATTGGATGCAACTATAAAAAATAAGGGATTTTTTCGTAAACAACCCTTACCTTAGGGAGGCGGTTGTAATTTATCCTTAATTAAAAGTAATGAATTACCATTTAAGTCCCAAGGATCACAAGGGTAAAGATGAAGATCCGGGATGACATCTGGATGGCAATTAGGTAAAATCGCAGACTTATTACGTGAGAAATGGACTACGAGCTCTTCGTCGGAGGTAAATCGGAAACGGGTGGTAATAAGTTGAAACTCAAGTTATCTTCCCCCATGAAAATC